CCAGCTGAGGTTGTCATTCATGTGTACACCCAAGTACTTGTAGCTGGAGACCACTTCCACCGCAGATCCTCTTATGTTCAGGGGGGTGTAGGTGTGTTTGTTCCTTCTGAAGTCCACGATCATCTTCTTTGTCTTCTTCACATTGATGTGAAGGTTGGTCTCTTTGCACCAGCTCTCCAGGTGTTCCACCTCCTGCCTGTAGCTGGACTCATCGTTGTTTGTGATGCATCCCACCACCGCTGTATCATCTGCAAACTTTACAATATGACAGCCTGTGTAGGTCTCAGGTTCTGCAAGGACAGGAAAGAAGTTCAACTGAAGTCCAGTTACAACCTGAAATATCTATCTAGCTGAAAAGGCCTGATATTTATGATGACAGTCCAGTGTTTCTCCTACCATTATACAAACAGGGCGCCCCACCCTGTCAACAGAACCGAGCTTCCTACCTACCAAGCCCCTAGTCGACAACTGCTGGCACTGACGTAGCACTAAGCTAGCAATGCACAATACAGATGTGCTAGCTAAAAACAGAGGTAGTGCTCCATTTCCTTCACGATGAGCCTGCTTCCCCCCCGCATTTGCACCTGACCTGTTTAGATCTTAAGTGCTGGTATTTTTAATATTCTGGTTTTTTTTTTATATCTTTTGTTATTCCTTGTGTATGTTACTTTGTACTGAAACTCTGGCACAACAATGTCCTATGGGATTAATAAAGTTCTATCTTATCTTAAAAACGTTAACTGTATTATCTTAAGAATCAAGCTCTTTAAGCTCTGTTCACTGAGTTTGTTTTTAATGAATGTTCAGTTTAATCTGACTGTAATTTCTCCAGGATAGTCTACAGTTCCCATGCTGCCTACTCCCAAAGCAAACTGGCTCTGGTCCTCTTCACCTACTACCTTCAGGAGCAGCTTATGTCTGGAGGATTTCCTGTGACTGTAAACGCTGTGGACCCCGGCATGGTGGACACGGCGCTGTACGATAACCTGTGGAGCCTCGCAAAGATGCTCAAGAAACCAGTTGCCAAGATTCTGTTCAGGGTATGTGTTAATCAGAATCAACTTTATTGTCATTGCACCGTTCAGCAGAATGAAAATACATTTCAGTGCAGCCATCCAATGAAAACGAGGGTTGACGGAGGTGCATGGAGGCTGCAGCTTCGTTGTGAAGCACTGCCTTTATTGTTTAGATAAGAAAAGGGAAGAAGAACATGAGGAAAGAATGTATCACAGCAGCTACATTCTGGCGTAGCTTAACTATGAGACCCAAAATATATTCCATAAGTCGTAGCAGAGGATGCAGTATGTTATACTCCAGCACCATTGGTGTTGATAGAAATATGCCCTTGGTCCGCGCGTGCGTGAAACATACACCTGCACTGCGCATGTGCTTTAACAACTCTGCGGGAGCTGTTGACTCAAAATACGTGTCGTGTAAACGGCCCCTTTGTCTCTCGCTTGGTCTGGGAACAACTTGGAATCCTCCCAGAAGAGCTGGAATAGGTGGATGTGGAAAGAGATGTCTGGGCCTCCCTGATCAAGCTGCTGCCTCCGCGACTCGACTCCGAACAAGCAGAAGATAATGGGTGGATGGATGGAAAATAATAATAATAATGATAATATTAATAAAGAACAAGCCATATTTACTGTGTTTTAAAATTTGGGGGAGTGGCTGGATTTGTACGCTTCAAAATTGCTTCGCAAGTTTTCTATTTATTGTATGTAATGTCTTGCTGCAGGAAGGCCTGTCACGATAAACAATAAATCAATTAATCACAGGAGAAATTAACATTACCTCTTTCATTTATTGGCTTTATCATTTCTTCATGTCTCTCTCTTTCTACTGGACACTGGATGACAAAAGGCTCAACTCTGGTGCTCTTCACTGACCCCTCTCTTTCTCTTTAAAATCTGTTTTAACCATCCAAAATCATGTTTTTGGATGGTTAAAAGCAGCTAAGCTGAGAAGCTAAGCTACAAGCTAAGCTAACAGGCTGACCTCGGGGAAAAAAACCTCCGTCTTGTCAAAGCTTCAAAATCCACAGTTTAAACCCGTGCCTTCATCTAAAAAGTTTTTTCTCTACAAAAAGAAGCTGAGCACTTGTTTACGGATTTTTTTTATTAAAAGCTTTGTGTGACAAATGCTATGCTAAAGATCTCAAACCACACCGAGCGTCCGCCATTTTGAGAACCAAAAAACAGGAGCGACAGCCCACGTCACGTCAAGAGGCCTCCCTCCCATTTTTCTTACAGACACGCTGCTCGCTCCCTCACTATCAATCCTTTGGTTCAAACAGTCTTATACTGCCATCCAGTGGTCAAAAAAGGTATTACACACAAAAATTAACCAAAATTTCTTCTTAAAATTGACAGTAATTACTAATTATTGTCAAATCTCAAACAATATTATCGTTTATCACAATAATTTCTGAGACATTAATCGCCCAGCAAAACTAGTTATCGTGACAGGCCTAGCTGCAGGTTTTGTTTTGGTTTACGTTTTATAAGGTTGTATTTTCTTAAGTAGCTCTACAGGAACACATGTTGTTTAAATCAACCCTGGATATCAGAACCTGCTGAGTCCTGTCTTCTTGTGGCTCCTTCCTAGACTCCAGCAGAGGGAGCTTCCATATCAATCTATGCTGCAGCCGCTGCCGAGATGGAGGGGGTGGGGGGCTGTTACCTGTACAACGGAGAGAAGACGCAGTCCTCTGAGCTCTCCTACGACTCTGAGCTGCAGGTGAAGCTGTGGAAAAAGAGCTGTGAGCTTGTGGGCCTTCAGGAGGCCTGATGCAGCCTGATGGGACCGTCACACTGAACAAGTCCACAACCTCCTCCATCATCAGGGACACTGAGAACACTGAACCTCTGTCTTCACTGTTCATTCACAAAGTGTCCAACTCTTTTCATACTAATTAGTAATTATTGTCAATTTTAAGAAGAAATTTTGGTTAATTTTTGTGTGTAATACCTTTTTTGACCACTGGATGGCAGTATAAGACTGTTGGAACCAAAGGATTGATAGTGAGGGAGCGAGCAGCGTGTCTTTAAGAAAAATGGGAGGGAGGCCTCTTGACGTGACGTGGGCTGTCTCTCCTGTTTTTTGGTCTTTATAGTGCCTTTGACAAAACTTTCTTCATTTTTATTCATTCAGCGATTGGTCGTTAATAAAAACAGATGACTCTGTGATGACGACAAAATCAAGGCTTTATTTAAGAAAAACAAATAAACATCTTGAACAGTCATGAAGTCTTCCTCACACCTTCCAAATCTTACTTCAACAGTTTGAGCAGGCAGCGTGGGAGAGGGCGGACTACAGGAACCACCTGAGCACCATCAAACTGGTTGATCCACTCTGAGAAGGTGATATTTATAAGACTGAGTTTGTTGCAGCTCCTCAGACTGAAGAAGGTTTTTTGGATAAAAGACGAAACGTTTCAACAAAGAAGAATCCGTCCAGAGGACACGACTCGACCTTTTTAGATTAATCTACCTGGATTATTTGCTTCAGTATTTAAATATTTGTATTTTAAAAATAATTCAGTATATTAGTAATAGTCTGCTTATAAAACATAAAAAAACACAAGTTTACAATAAAATATTAATATTAAGCTGACTTTCATTGTAAATCATTTTAAAGTAAATTCAATATTTTTCAAAGACTTTGGTGTAATTACAGCAGTGACCACCAGAGGGAAGCAAAGAAACATTGTTAGAATGAAAAAAGTTAAAACAAGTCAAGTCAACTTTATTTATAGAGCACATTTAAAACAGAACCTGATATCAACGTGCTTAACAACAACAACAATCAATGAGTAAATTAAAGAGAAAAATATATAAACATATATATATATACAATACACTAATAATAATAACTGAAGAATTAATAAAAAGCATTTAAAACCTAGGGTCACAGATTTAAAAAAAAAAACACTAGATCAATTTACGGTGTATGAAATGCCTGAGAGAACAGATGTGTTTTAAGCAGGGATTTGAAGTGAGGAAGGGAGGTGGCCTGCCTGATGCTGGGGGGCAGGTTGTTCCAGAGTTTGGGGCCCATGACTGAAAAAGCCCGATCTCCTCTGAGCTTCAGTCTTGTTTTTGGAACAACCAAAAGCTGCTGATCGGATGATCTCAGAGCCCGAGAGGGAACGTAAGGTTCCAGAAGCTCAGGGAGGTAAAGGGGTGCGAGGCCATTTAAGCATTTGAAGGTGAACAGAAGAATTTTAAAAACAATCCTCGTACGAACAGGGAGCCAGTGAAGGGAGGACAGAACTGGTGTAATATGTTCAGACCTACGAGTTCCGGTTAAAAGCCGAGCTGCAGCATTCGGGACGAGCTGAATGCAATGAATGAATGAATGAATGGAATGAAAGACCATGTTTCCTCAGGATGGACCCCAGTGGGAGCAAATAAAGTGAGAACAGAAGGGGTCCAAGAATCGAACCCTGTGGGACCCCAACAGGGTACCTCTACCTGATTGAGTTTACAAATGTTTTTTTTTTAAACAGGAAGTCAAACTTTCAGTTCTGGTTTGTCTTACAACATTTAAATCGCACAAAACGAACAGATAAATTAATTTACTTTAAAACAACTGAAGATCAATGGAAGTTCTTTCTGTCAGCGCTGCAACATTAAATTGATTTTGATCACAATGCAACATGAAATATTCATATTTCAAAAAGTATTTTTTCTGCTTTAACATAATATATACTTGTGATGTTCTAATAATAAACTGAACACAGCACATTGTTCAAACATTAAAGTGTGATTGTTTGAAGGTGATGATGTAAAGTGTGGATGAGGAAACGGAAGAAGCAGAAACAGTCCAGTCAGAGTGTCTGCATACAAGCTGCTGCTGCTTCATCCTCTGTGGATCATCAGGACATGGCTCATCTTCTCCCACAAACACACCATCATGTTCAGACTCTTCAAAATTAAGGTAATCTCCATCTGTAGAGAGAAGAAGAAGCAGCAGAAGAGATAAATGAGTCTTTCAGAGAGACCAACACAAACTTCAATCACAACACATTGTGCAGCATCTTTGGGTAAAACTTAGTAACTGTTGGGAGTCAACCCTGCTTGTCTGTTAGCAAAATATTTCATAAACCACTGGATGGACTTTATTTAAACTTGCAGTAAATAAATCTGAAACGCTCACCTTCAACTGATTGACTTTTGGAGTCAACACAATTCAAGATGGCTGCCACAGCTAATCAAATTGAGCCTAGACATAAATATCTGTAACTCAGTGAATTTGACAGATCCTGATGTAACATGTGGTGTGGTAGTAGCTGACAGTCATTCAACATCCTCCAAGCACTAACAGATCAGCTGAGACATCACATGATCACATGACGTGTTGTTTTGGTGAGTGATCTGCATTCCTTCAAGCAACGCTCGCTCTTTCCTTCTTTTCTTGTCTTTCTGTTTGATCCTGAAACCAGTGCCTGTTCTCCGCTCATACATTCATTCAGAAATACAGTTACTGGGAAGCTGCAGGTTTACTGGAAACACTGGATCTTTGCTTTGACAACAACCGGCTTTAGTCCAATTCTGCTGAAAGCAGCAGGAACGACTCCGACCTTCTACTGACCTCAGAGTCTGCAATCTGTAGTCTGGACTCTTCACAAGATCCAACAGCTGCTGAACATCTGGATCCTGCAGGTTGTTGTGACTCAGGTCCAGTTGTATCAGATGGGAGGGGTTGGACTTCAGGGCTGAACTCAGAGAAGAACAGCTGATCTTTGACAAACTGCATCTGATCAATCTGAATAAAGAATAAAACATGTAAGTTTAGAAACAAAACTTTTAAAAACTCTGAACTCTGAAAAACTTTGATCCAACTGAAAGATGTTTTGATCAAACCTTGAAAATAAACCTTTATGTTCAATCTCCAGAGATATTGTGATATCTTGAACAATCTGACATGATTACTTATCTCTTGAAGAATGTTGAGAATGACTCTCAGCTACTACCACACCACATTTAGCTCAGTGTCTGTAAAATTCACTGAGGTAAAGACACTTCTGTGTTGGCTGAGGTCAGTTAGCTGCAGCAGCCATCTTGAATGACGTCGACTCCAAACAGTCAGCAGTTTCAATAATTAATCCAAAGATTAATTGTTGAACGTTTCTTTGAAATATGTTCAGTGGTTTATGAGATATTTTGCTAACAGACAAACAGGACTGACTCCAACAAATTATATCAAGGTTTTATTCAAAAATGTTTCACAATGTGTTACACTCAAAGTATGTGGTGAGTATGATGCTCAGCTACTACCACAACTACTGTCAGCTCAACATCTGTCAAACTGGCTGAGTTATAGTCATGTTGCTGTTTCCTGGAGTCAGTTGGCTGTGACGGCCATCTTTAATTAATTCAATTCAGGAGTTATTCAGTTTTACATGTTTTTTCAGGCAGCACGGTGGTGCAACTGGTAGAGCTGCTGCCTCTCAGCAAGCAGGTCCTTGGTTCAAACCCCGGTCCAGGCAAGTAGACCCCTTCTCCTTCTGATCACCAAGAAAAACAAAACGCCGAGCGTGACGTCATGTCCACCTGTTTACCAGCAGCCACCACCAGGGGGCGTCGTTGCTACACAAACAAAAGGAACCTGGATTAGATGTAAAATAGGATCTAAACAGTTTCCCCATTAAAAGAAACTACTAGACAAACTTTTCAGCAAAACAAGAAAAAATATTATAAAGACGGTGCGTTTTGATAAAATTCATTAAACAACAACCCTGTTACACGACATTGGTGGTTGGCAAACAACAATTTGGTGCATTATCACCACAAACTGTTGAGAAGGTGGACTGAGACAATGCAAACAAACCAATTAGTTAATGTTACTTAATTAATTAATTAATCGCTTTTTTACAGGTTTGACTAAAACTTCCATCATTTCTCCACAAGGTGATCTTAGTCTAAAACTGAGACATGAAAGGTGGCGGGAAATGCATTATTTCAAGGATTGCCAGGCCTTTAATTGTGTCCAGCGTCAGAACAGATGAAGTGGACTGCATTATTCTGGACAGGGGATGTTCTGCAGATGTTCAGCAGACCAACATCTGGCTGCAGTGGAGAAACGTTCAGGAAGTAGAAACTGATTCTCTCCTGGACTCTGTGTCTGCTTGAAGCTCAGCAACGTTCTTCGAAGGCTCCCACTCTGAGTGCAGCCTCCCAAAACGTTGGTTCTGCTGAGTTCTGTCCACAGAACCTGCTCCACATCTCAGGACCAGACGTTCCACTCAGCTGCAGGAGCTTCTAACGGCCCTTAAAGCTCCACAAACATGAAGAGGAGAGAAGAAGAACATCCAGTAAGATGTTTCTCTGAACTGACCAACATCTGACTCACAAGAAGTCCACGTGCTTCAGTGAGACGTGTGGGAGAAGTTCAGGTGGAAGCAGAGTTCCTGCTCAAGTCCTGAACTCAGCCTCTGTTCTGAAAGTCTGTCCCACAGTTCATGTTGAGATGATTTTTAAAGCTGTCACTTTCTGTCCACACCATCTGAGCACCTCCTCATTTCAGGAAACATCCACCACAAAGCTTCACTGAGCCTTCAACAACTACATCTCCCATGAGGCAGCAGTTACTGTAGCTGACGCTCATGGGAAATGTAGTTCAGCTTCACGTTCCTCTTCTGAGCTCACGACAGAGGAGTTTGGATCCATCCATCCATTTTCTTCAGCTGCTTCTCTCTGCAGCGTCAGGATGAGTTTGTAAAAATAATTCTCGTTTGTGAAACTGTGACCGCTGAGCTGAAAGAGTCTGCTGAAACCTGCTGAACCAGCTGAAGCTCATACACAACACCAGCTAAAAGCTAAAAAACGATGAACACTAGCTAAAACATTAAAGAAGAGAATCGCTTGCTAAAAATGAGAAGTAGCTAAAGGTGAAAGTAGCATAGAGATTGCGAAATGTAGCAGAAGGCTAGCTAAAAGCTAAATAAAGCAGCACGCAGCTCAAAGCCTAAAGTAACAAAATGATAGCTGGAAGCAAAGTACTAGCCAAAAGCTAAACAAATAATATGGTAGCTAAAGTTGCAAAGGCTAGCTACAAGGTAAATATAGCATAAAAACTGAAAACAACAGCTAAAAGCTTAAAGTAGCACAAGAAGGCTAAAACATAGAAGACAAACTGAAGCAGATTTTAAAAAGTGCTTTTGAAAGTTATTAAGAGATTAAGAGAAAATATTTGTAAATAAAGTTTAATAGTTTAAAAAGGATGAAAGTTACAACGATCAAAAATCATCTTTCAGCTCTGAATGAGATCAACAGTTTGATGATTCTGCAGAAATAGATTGTAACAAAGTGACAGAACATAAAAAAAAATAAAAAAAACATCCAACAATGTTGTGAATGCTGACTCAGCGTTCACAACATGAACATGGTTTCTCTTCATGGTGAACGCATGAAACACACAGAGATGGGATTTCTGCCCTCCAGCTGTGGTCACGTGATAAAAACAGGTTCCAGATGTTCTGATGGAGCGATCAGTTTTCATCTTCCAGGATTCTGGAAGTCCTTTGATTCCAGCTGCAGCTGCTGTTAAATGTGTGTTAGTCAAACATCTGCAGCTCTGGATGGGTCACAGAGTGGGAGCCTCGTGTGGGACTTGACTGGACTGCTGATCCAGAGTACAGGTGTCCAAATACTAGTCCTTTCAGACTGAGTACAAGTACTTCAGTTTGGGTACTTGCTGATACTGCGAAGTGAATGAGTTAGTACTTCAACATTAAACAATGACTTGTTTTATACAGAACAGGAAACAGTCAGATGTCTCAACATCACCTGCGTTTATCTTCAAATGTCTCTAAACTACGGACATTTTTTTATTATTTGTCCTCGTTTAATGACAAAGTGGACGGGGACATCACGTCACCAAACATCAAAGTGATGTTGGTCTTGTTGAGGGATGTGCATAAATGCTCCACGCTCTATTATTTGACTTTATTCATAAAGACTTTGTAAGTTTTCTGCTCCTTTACTGTTGTTGTGAACGATGTGAAATGTTTCCATGATCCCTCCTCTGTGTCATGATCATTCTTGAGGGGACAAACAGTCAGGAGACAGTGGACAGCTCATCTTTTATTCTGCTCCGGACCTTTCAATGAAATGGGACACACGCACATTATTCCCTGTGGGACTCCTGGAGAAGTGTTGACCTCCAGCGGCTCCCAGTGTGCAGCTGCTGGTTCGCTTCTGAAACCAGCAGGACGAGGTGAAGGCGAGGGGAAGGCCCCTGAAGAGTTCTCTACAAACGTGACCTTTTTATTTCAGGAAGTCAGAACGAGTCAGAGACTCGGACGAGGCGAGACGTGAAGAAGTTCTGTTCTTCATGACGTGTTGATCCGCTGGGAGTTGTTGCCTCTTCTCCAAACTTTGCAATAAAGTTCATGAAGTCGACACCTGATCGTCTGAGAACCAGTTTGTTCCTCGACAGCTCTTCAGTAGTGGAGTGTTGCATGAGGACAAGTGTGAGGACTGGAGGCTGGTACCACTAATCCAGATGTGTAGAGTCGGAGCTGCCACAGCTGTCTGTTAGAGAGGAAGAGCAGCAACACTTGTTCTGTCTCTGCTGGACTTTTTGTTGCTGCAGCTCAGACTCTGTGTTGATGTGTGTGAACACGTTACATGAGCAACTCAGAGTCACACACACACACACGCTGCACGTTGATTTCCTGAACAAACACAGAGGAGGAGACATGAAAGTGAAAGCGTTTCACTTCCTTCTGACTCCATTTTGTGTGACAGCAGAAGAACGAGGACTGAAAGCTGAACGAGGTGCGTGTGAACTCCACATTCTTCTTCTTCTCCTCTCAGAGTCTCTGAGGGGCTTTTCTCTCTGTGGCGGGAAGAAGAGGCAGAACTCACTTTGATTCACCGTCGGGACAAGATGCTGCTTTTGTCTCTTTCATTTCCTGTTTGTCCCCAACAAGAAACTCTTGAGTTTTCTTTGTCTTTAAGCCTGCTGGTACCATGACAACAGAGTTGTTGAAGACTCGAACATACATTTCTAAACACTCAGCTCAAATCTGATGTTTTTACTCGTCTCTCTTTGAACAAGTTATTTTTGTGTCGGCCATTTTGGGTGGAGGAGAAAACAAACCAAACCAACTAGGCCTGTCTGCAGGCAAATTCGGAAGGCGTATCTGGGCGATCATATCTGATTGGGCTACAGGAAAATGGGCGTATCTGGCCGGCCGCATCTGATTGGACGATATAAAAATGAGCGCGTCTAGTCGGCCACATCTGATTGGACGATAGAAAAAAAGGCTGAACGATATTAGCGGCGTCTCGGTTCGACATCGCTCCAGTATACTGCCGCGACGTCTCCATAACTTCTTTTTCCGCCTCTCTTAACACAGAACTTCCGGTTACATTTCAAAATAAGAGCAACATAACTGGGTAGTGGGTAGAGCTAAATGTTAGTGTTTTTTTAAATACCTAGCCGTAACATTAAAAAACAAAATCCATTTTGGTTGTTGAAAAATGTGAAAAAAGTTACAATCGATTCATAAAGAAAGAAAAATATTAATGATACGTTAACTGGCCTTGGGACAAAGGATGTTTCCTTTAACTTCACATTTTCTTGTTCAACCTGCAGTCACTACAGATGCGTGATTTGTCAGTTTCTGTCAGATTTCTGCAACTGGAGCAGGTATTTCTGTTTACTGGTTAACTTCCTCAGCTGTCTCACATTTTAAAGGTCAACCCTACTTCATGTTTCAGTAGAAAACAAGCACATTTAGGAGTCAGTACATAACCAGACTTTTGGCCCTCACACCTGTACCCAGTTGCTTATGCTGCATGATGAGATCAGATTTATCCATATTTTAGAAATTACATTTAGCTTAGTCGACAAAACAATACAAATGAAGACCGTCCGTCTTTAAAAAACTCTTGGTTTTGCAGTAAGCAGCCTGATTTCAAACGAACATCTTGGCCAAAGGTAAAATAAAAATCGTTGTGTTCTCAGAAAAGTTGTTTCAGGACCTCCAATAAACTTATGTACACATCAAAGCACACAAGACAGATTCAGGAATTGTCTTTGTTTTCCAGATTTCTCATTTGTTATTACCTTAAAACATACTCAGACAACATTTGATGCATCATTGAGTTTTTTTATTGTCTTTATTGGGACATCCATTTTTAGAAGTCGGTTCACTTTTGAATCCAGTTCAAAATACTCATGTATGTCTACAAATCACTGAACAGTGTTGCCCCCACCCCATCTCTCTGATCTGCTACAACCGTATGTCCCACCACGCTCCCTGAGGTCAGCGAACCAGTTGCTCCTCACACAGTTCCAGGAACTCGTCTTAAGCGCAGAGGTGACAGGGCCTTCTCTGTAGCAGGACCAAGACTCTGGAACGAGTTACCTCTGCTTGTCAGACAGGCCCCCTCCCTCTCGGTTTTCAAGTCCCGTTTAAAAACTCACTACTATTCAGTAGCTTTCAACACCAGATGATCTGTGTTTTGATCCTGTATGCTCCACACTGGTTAGTCGTCATTATCTGCATCGTTTTTATGTCTATATTCTGATTTACCTCATTTTGTATTTTGCTTTGTGTGTTACTTGTTGTTCTGGCTGTACAGCACTTTGGTTGGCCTTGTTGCTGTTTTAAGTGCTTTATAAATAAAATGGTATGGTAGAAATCATCGTAGCATCTTTTGGAAACACAAACCATAGCACAGTTAGGGTGTTGCTAGTTGTACTCTACACCCCCCTGAACATAAGAGGATCTGCGGTGGAAGTGGTCTCCAGCCACAAGTACTTGGGTGTACACATGAATGACAACCTCAGCTGGAGCAACAACACCACCAGCCTGATCAAGAAAGCTCACCAGAGACTCTACTTCCTCAGACGGCTGAGACGAGCTGGTCTGGGAAGCTCAGTCCTCACCTCCTTCTACAGGTGTGCAGTGGAGAGCATCCTGTGCTCGAGCATCAACGTGTGGCATGGAGGCTGCACAGCTGCAGAAAGAAAAGCTTTGCAGAGAGTGGTGAAGGCTGCACAGAAGTCTGTCGGAATCAGCCTCCCCACCATCACAGACATCTACACCTCCAGATGCAGGAAGAGGGCCACCTGCATCATGAAGGACCCCACTCACCCAGCACACACACTTTTTGCCCCACTCCCCTCAGGAAGGAGGTTAAGGAGCATTAAGTGTAGAACCACTAGACTGAGGAACAGCTTCTACCCTGAGGCTGTTAGACTCATGGATCTCTAACCAGAATAATCACTGTGAGGAATCACATCATGTTGCTGCTGATCTGTTTCATGTTGCTGCTGATCTGTTTCAATGTTGATGTGTTCATGCGTGCACATCATCACAGACTCATGTTCATGTTTGTGCTGATGTTCAATGTTTTATGTTATGAGTGCTTAGTGTATATTTAGTTGATGTTTTTCTTAGTTCATATCTTAGATGTTATTACTGTTTTTCTTAGACATTTTATTGTCGGATGTAACTGGGACCCCGTGTACATAATTTCGCTCCACCACATGTACCACATGAGGTGCGAATGACAATAAAGAATCTCTGACTCTGACATCATGTCCTGTTTAAAGCTGGACAATATCAGATTCACACTCCAACAGGAAGAGGGTAAATTTGAGAAAGTTTGGGGACCTTTCCTGAATCCCAGTCTCTTTGACAACACCATTCATTCAGGGTAATGCAGTCTCTTGGCTATTTTACTTTTTATTTTTCCCTTTCCTTTTGCCAGCGATTGGGGAGGGATTATTTTCTTTTCTTTGGTGTGGATTATAATGTAGATGATGCTTATCAGATTGACTCAGTCTATTAATGTCTTCACTAATGGTTACATGCAAATGCTTTATTACCATCTTTGCTGTTTAATGTTTTTGTTTTTTGGAAGAAAAAAAATGAAAAATTCAACAAAAAAGATGTTGAATTTGAAGGAGTGGCTGCACACGCTGAGCAACAACAGTCAGTGTCTCACCTGCAGCAGACAGCAGTCAGAGCGCTCAGTTTGGAGCTTCAGGGAGGAATTCAGATGTTCTCGCTTCTTCTTCATCTCTTTGGACTGTTTGAACAAACTTTAAGTTTGTTTTGTTTCGTCTTGAACTTTGTCTTCAGGAACGTTTTCCTGTTTGTTTCATCTCTCTGATGTTTGGAGACTAATCTACAGGATTATTAGATTATTGATGAGCTGCAATCAAACAACATGATGAACAGATGATGTTTGTTTTCTTCACTAAACAAACTGCATCACGTTCTAACATCACACTCAACAGCTTCCTGTCAGTCCTTTCAAAATAAAATGACACTAGTGTTAGTTCAGATGTGTTTGATTTCAATTGTGTGACGTTTAGACGGAGCAGATAATCCACTTGAACAGTTTGATGGTTGTGAAATAAATCAGAGTTCATTCTGCTTCACTTTAGTCTTTAGACTTCCTCCTTTCTGCAGCTGGAAACGGTTTGATCAGGAGAAGATCAGAGCTGATGTTCACATGAATGATTTGTGTTTCCTCTGCAGGTGAAGGTAGAAAGTGTGTGTAAGCTGATGTGAATTCAGCAGCATGGATCAGCGTGAGGACGGAGAGGAGGGAGTCCCTCCCTCTAAAACCACTCTGTGTGGGGAACATGAGAGCCAGAGCAAAGATCAGAGGTGACATCTCTAACTGTCCACGACTCTTCTCCATGTCAGAGCTCAGCACTCACAGCAACACACTGACTTTATTCACAGGAACACACCTGGACCTGGACCTGGACCTGGACCCAGCTGTGTGTCCTTTAAGAGCAACATGTCAAAGGATTTTGTTATTGACTTCAAACAAAGAGTTTCCTCCAACAACCAGTAAGTTTCTCTCAGAGTCCAGTCGAGGCTGGATGATATTAAAGATAATTGTTTTCTGTTGAACGACTTTGAGTTGATTTTTATTTCATTTCTCTGAGACTAAGTTGCTGCTTTCTGTCTGTAACTTGTTTCAAACTCTTGTTGAACAAAGAGAATAAATGTCACATCATGTGAGTTTTAAAGGATGCTGATTGTGTCGTGAACAAAGCTGCTGATGACAGAATCCAGCAGGAACCAGAACCAAACTGAGCCTTCAGCTCTGCTTTTTATTCTTCTCATGTTCAGATGATCCATCAGATGATTTTAGATGAAATGATGAACATCAGCTGAAGTTGGAGCTCATTACCGTCTCCATGGTAACAGAAACTCTCAGCTGTCTCAGACTGACAGTTACAAACATCCAGGATCAAATCTCCAGTGGAAAAACCAAGACCCTCCTCTAAAACTCTGACTGACAGAGACAGAACCAGAACTCCCATCACAACCAGTTTCACTGTTAGTTTCCAGAACATCAGCAACAATCTGGACTTTTTACTAGTTTTACTAGTTTTTGGTGTCAGTCTGGTCTCCAGTAACTTGTTTAAAGTCTGAATGGTTTCCAGCTGGTTTCCACGTCTCCTTCATTCTGGGACAGAGTCCGAGCTCACAGATCTGGTCTAAACCCTCCTTGGTTCTGGTCTCTGAGTGGAGGTTCAGGTTTTTCCAGCAGCTGACACAAAGAAAGGCTGCTGTGTTCAGCTTGTTGTGTAGTTTCAGAGAACTTCCAGAACCAGAGAGTTCAGGCTGTGATTCTGAGTCCACCTTCTCCTCTCTCAGTCTCTAACAAACACAGAGGAGGCTGCAGCTCTCTGCTCTGCTGCTGACAATAATCTGGATTACTCAACTACACACTCATCCACTTTAATCCAGTTCAAGAAGAACAACATGTCTGCTGCAGGAAGAGGAGGAGAACTGGAGAAGATGGACTGTAGAATTACAGATGTGGTGTCCTGCAGCTGGAAAGGATCGTTTCAGGATCAATAACTGAGAACAAATAATCCTGTCACTTTCATCCAGAATGTTCCAGGATCCAGACTCAGGATGTGACACCAATCACCATGACTCAATCATTAAATGTCACTTTTTTAACAGGATCCATCAGAGACTCAAAGCTGGACCTGAACCCAGCTGTGTGTCCTTAAAGAGCGACGGGTCAATGGGTCATCTTATTGATTTTAAATCAGTCCAGCCTCCATCAGCAGAGAGGTGAGCTGTCTCTAAATGTTGTAACTGTGTAAAATGTAACTGAGTCAGTCTGAAATGTTTTCATTCCAACATGTGTTTCATGTGAGCTCAGCTCTTTTTCACACATTTCTATGTTCACATGTGAAGCGGTGTGTGTTGGATGTTTTCTCCAAACTCAGCAGTCAAAGTGAAAGAATGGATGTTGTAGGAGGAGTTTCTGAGTGTCTGTAGGTCACCAGGTGGTCCAGCAGGTGTCACCTTTGACCTTTGCTTCAAACACAGTGTAGGTAGGAACTTCCACTCAGGTGGCAGGTGTTGCTGGATGGAGGAGGACAAATAGTTTCTGGATCCTGACTCCACATGGACCTTTAGCTGGTGTTTGTCTCTGTGTGGACAGACACAAGTGGAGCTAATTCTTCATGATTCCTCCACAGAGTGGACCAGCAGAGCTCAGAGGTTCCCAGTGCTCAGTCTGCCCAGCAGCATCAAACACAGCTGGACTCCATATTTATGGTGCGTTCATGTACAACAAGTACTTTTACATGTGTTGTGTTCACAGTCATCTCAATGCTGCACTTTGTAGACCAGTGGACTGTCAGTCTGTCCAACATGTAGACCAGTGGAC